CCCTTCTCTACTTATTATAGTATTTTTTAATTGATTTTTCGCCATTAGATCAAAACAACACAATCGAACAGAACAAATTAAAGGGACCTATAGAAGAAAACACTCAAACTCGAAGGGAATCGAGTAACAGACCTTCAAAGGAAAGGAAACCCTAGACAAACCCTCCCAAGGAGAAACCTAGAGGGAACTTGATTTTTTTTTTTTTTTTATGTTACCAAATTTTTACACCTCTCCGACAGTTTTCATTGACTTTGCTTTTTTTACTTTTTTTTTTCCTAAAACAAAATTAACTTTGCCTTTTTTCCTCAAAAAAAATTAACTTTAACTTTTAATGGCTAAGCCCACTTACTATCGTTTAGGCCTTTCTCTTCCATCTACCTTTTATATCCTTCATCCCCATAAGCGAATTATCAAGAAAAAACCCAATTATTATAGAAATCTCCCTTATATTCATGGGTTATGGAAACGAGATCAAAAGTATCAGGTTTTTTCTAAAAATTTATCAGTTTATGCTGTAAGTGTGATTGTATATTTGTATTGTTATCGTATAATGAATTAATATTTTTTTTTTTGATGAATTAATTTAAGTATCCACTCTTTCAGGTATTAAGAATCAAGAGGTTTCGTCTCCTCCGACATTATATGATTTCATTCGCAAACTATTATGATCTAGGATACCATTGGCAATTGCAGTGGGAAAGGCACAAATGCTTCACCAATTTACCATTAAAAGCGTATTTCGAGAAAGTGTTGGAGATTTCATGTTGGGTATCAAGTGGCCCAAATCCTTGAGAAGCCCAAAAGCATTCTTATGCTTCTAAGGTAAAGGTGGGCACGGGTCGGGTTGGCCTGCGGACGGCACGACCCGTCAGCTGGCCCGACCTGGCATGGTGGTCGCTTGGCGTACCGTGCCACGGACAGCAGTTGCAATTTTCCAGCACGGCACGGCACGAGCCCGCCCCCCACCAGACACGCCCTGTTTATATATATACATATATATATATATGTATGTATGTATACTAAACTTAATTTATTTTTTTAAAAAATATATTCATTTTTTTTTAAAAAAAAAGAACAAAGTCGAAGCTTAAACGTGTCAGGCACGTGGGCTGGCCCGGCACGGCACGCCCGACACGTGGGTCGTGCCGTAGGCTTGCCTAGTGGAAATGGAGGCACGGCCTGCGAGACATTTTTTAATACGCAAAAAAAGGCGTTTACGTGTTTTTTTTTTTCCAAAATTTGAGCTCAATTTGGATTCTTAAGGGTCAAATAGCCCCCAAAACCTTCAACGGAACAAATTCCAACACGCAAATCGATAAAAAATATTATTAAGTGGAGAGTGGGCCCCACTAACAGAATTTGTTAACAGCGAGATAACGACAAGGTTACCGTATAGAAAGTAATTGTATTTTGGGGTTATAGTTGAATTTCTCAAAAAGGAGGGGCACATCGGGGAAAACGAAAAGTTAGAGGGTTACTATATAGAAAAACCCTAGAGGTGATCAACATTGGCCTGGCCCGATCCGACCCAAAAATAGAGCGGGTTTGGCCAAGCCTAAAAAAAACATCTTTAGTTAAATATCCTAACCGACCCAAAAAAGCCCGAAAAGCCCGCTATTTTTTACGGATTTGGGCATGAGAAATTATGTTAAAACCTAGCCCGGCCCGATTTTTTACCACCTCTAAAAAAACCCTTAATAATAAAACATTTACTCGCAGTTGACATTGAGAGGCCCGCTACTAAACAAGTAAATTGCAAATTCTTAATTTTCTGGATTTTTTACCAAATTGAGCTTAACACATAAACTATTTACCAAACTAGACACCTGGCCAAACTATTTACCAAACTAAGCTTTTGAGGTAAAACGCTGACTCGGTTACCCCTTTATTTTTTTTTATTTTTTTTAAATTTCGTATTTTATGAAATACAAAGTAGATAGAAAAAATAACTGAAAATACCAAAAACGCTGCCTCAGTCAGTGTTTCATTAATACTACAAAAACCCTGCTTGAGGCAGCATTTATCCCTGTTATATTGAAAAAAAAAATCGCGAAACATATTATTCACTCTCATCATCAAAACTCAAACTCTCTCTCACACTCTTCATCAACGGTCAATCCCAAGCTGTCGTCGCCGCCGCCTACTGCCGTCGCCGCCTGCTGCCGCCGCGCCTCTCCTCTTCCTTTTAATCACATTGTTGGTACTTCTCACTCATTGGTTTTTAAAATCTAAAAACCTTGGATAGTTTGATAATTATATACTACATTGTTTTAATTTGATAATGTGTTGATTATTCTAAGTTAGTTTGATGTAAATTGATAATTCTAAGTTAGTTTGTTGTAATTTGATAATAGTTTAGTATGAAAGCCCTAAATTGATGTTAGTTTAGCATGAAAGTTTTTGATGAAATTGTGGAAATTTTTGATAAAATTGTTGAAAATGTTGATGAAATTTGTTGATAATGTTGATGAAATTGTTGTTCTAATTTTATAAAGTAGCCTACATTGTTGTTTAATTATGGAAAATATGTTATGTAGAATATGTTGGTTGTTATAGTGTGAATTGTTGGTTGTGTACTTTGTTTTGGTTGTTATGTGAATTGGAACAATGTTGGTTAATTATGTTTATAGTGTGAATATGTTGGTTATAATGTGAATATCTAGGTTGTTATAGTGCGAATTGCTGAACATTGCAATTAAGATGTGTTTTTGGTTGTTATGTAGAATATGGTTGCACAAAACGCAGCTTTGTTATGCCGGTGGGGGGGGGGGGTGAATTTGTGTCTGATGAACCGAATGTCCAGTATAGTGGTGGAAATATGGAACCATTGCCACTTGGACCGGACATGACTTTCAACGATATGATGAACGAGGTTCATAGCATTGTTGGCTTAAACCCAATGAATGTACAACTTAACATTCAAATGAGGTTTGAGACTAATAATGCGGTTCAAGTGTTAACTTGTTCTCACGATAGACATTTGAAAGCTTTGAGGAGCGCTGTTTTAATGAGGGGTTATCCACAGGAGATATATGTAGAAATAGTGCCTACATGTACTCAACAAAGTACTCGGCCAGATCAACAAGCTACATATATTTCCGGATACACAGAGTCCTTCCGAATGCCCTCACAAGACATTCCATCAACTCAATATGGGATGGGATCCTTCAGTAGACTGCTTCATGACGATCAGTTTCAGTCTTGGACAACGTTTTATACCCTGGTTTTTGTAAAAAAAAAATAATTCAATGAGTAAAACGTAGTTTGAGACAGCGTTTTACCTGTTGACTTTTTTTTTTTCAATTTCGTAATTTTTGATTTTAAAATAAAATTAAAAAAAAAATTACACTAAAAACGCTGACTGTTTTTTTAAATTCTTAATTTCTGATTTTTTTTAGGATTAATTCTGTTTTTTAATCCCAACTTTCACCAATTTATTTTTATTAATCCCAAATTTGGATTATTCCTCAATAATCCCAACTTTAAGGTGGGTTATCATTCTTCAATCCCAAAAACCGGTAATCTATGAATGGGTAAAAAATATTTTAAAAAAATTATTTGACACGTGTCACATGTTAATTGCTTCAAAAAATTAAAATTAATAAATAAAATCAAATAAATTAAGAAAAAACAAAAAAAATCTTTTTCTTTTTTTTCTTTTTTTTTTAATTTTTTTTTCTATTTATTTCTTTTTAAAAAAGTAAATTAAAATAAATAAAATAAAATAAAATAAAATCAAAATAAAATAAAAAAATCAAGAGAAAGGAAAAAAAATAAAAGGAATTTCTGTTTTTCTTCTTTTTTAAAAAATAAATTAAAATAAATAAAATAAAATAAAAATAAAATCAAAAAAATCAAGAGAAAGGAAAAAAAGGGAATTTTTTCTGTTTTTTTCTTTCTTTTAAAAAAAATTGATTCAGTAAAAAAAATATGGACCACTCACGTGCGACACATGTCATATGTTAATTACGTCAAAAAATTAAAATAAATAAATTAAATTAAATAAATTAAGAAAAAAACAAAACAAACTCCTTTTTCTTATTTTAAATTTTTTTTCTATTTTTTTCTTTTTTAAAAAAAAAATAAAAAAAGAAATTTGGTTCAGTAAAAAAAAAATTACAAAAAAAGAATTTCGTTCAATTAAAAAAAAATAAAATAAAATTGGACCACTCACGTGGTGACACGTGTCCAACAACCTATAATAGAAGGTTGTTGACTTTTGTTGACCGGTTTGGGTATGAAGAATGATAACCCACCTTAAAGTTGGGATTATTGAGGAATAATCCAAAGTTGGGATTAATATAAATAAATTGGTGAAAGTTGGGATTATAAACGTGCATTGCAAAGGTTGTTAACCTAGTTTTATAACATGCCATGGTAATAAAGAAAATAGTAATACAGAAAATGTATGCGACATTTATGTGCAATCATCCTATCTCATGTCTTATCAATTAATTAATTATAATCACACCACAAAAAAAAAAAAAAAAAAAAGAAAAAAAAAAAAACCCCATCAACATAGTGCATCATAAGAACAACCCTTATAAAGAATCTAGTAATTTTATGAAAATCATGTATAATACACATGCTCATGTCATATTAAAATAATTGAAAGTAGACTATTTTAGATAGAAGTTTATATTTTTTGAAAATAAAAATAAAAAATTAATGAGTTACAAAAAAAAAAATCTGCAAAGGTAATTTTCTATTTTCCTACAGTAGAAAGGAAAAAGAGGCTAGTGAAAAGGTCACAAACCCTTTTACAACACACTTTGTTAAAGCAGCACCAAAGTTGTGAGAACTCAGGCCTCAGGATGATGATTTCTTCCAAAGCTTCTTCTTCCTTCTTTAATGGTGGTAAGTCTCTTTCCGCTTCTTTTCTTTCCCATTTTCGACTTTTCTCTTCTTCCCAAGATCGTCAATTGTTTCTAAATTCAGTTACTGAACAATCCAATTTAGGGTTTTCCGATCTTAAATCCCCCCTTTTTCTATATAATCAAATGATTAATTTGCGCCCTCTTCCGTCTGTTATCTATTTTAATCAGCTTTTTACTGCTATTGTCAAATTGAAGCGCTTTAATCCACATTCCACCATTATCTCTCTCTTCAGGCAGCTTGAATTATATGGTATTAAACCCAATATGCATTCTGTTGGTATTCTTGCCAATTGCTACTGTCATTTGGGCAGAGTTGATTTTGGCTTCTCTCTCCTTGCTAAAAGACTTAAGCTTGGTTATTCCCTTGATTCTGTCATCTTTAATACCTTAATTAACGGCTATGTTCACTGTGATAAGCTACCCCAAGCTGCTTCTTTGTTGAATAAAATTATCAAGCTTAATTATGTATAATACTATTGTCAAAGGCCTTTGTAGGATTGGCGACAATGCGTCTGCTCTCGCTTTTCTTAAGAAAATACAATCTGGATCTCATTTTAAGCCTGACATTGTTTTATACAGCACTATCATCGATAGTCTTTGCAAGGACAGGTTGTTACAAGAGGCCCTAGACCTGTTCTCCTCCATGAAATCTTAGGGCATTAAACCCGATGTTGTCACCTATAATTCCTTGGTTCGAGGCCTCTACAATTCTGGCTCTGGGGATGAGGCTCAGCGTGTGTTGACTGAGATGTTAGAGAGCAACATTGCACCAAATGTTAAGACCTACAGCATGCTGGTTGACATGTTTTGTAAAGATGGCTGTGTTGATCAAGCTCAGTCCCTTATAAAGCACATGACTGAGAGAGGTGTGCCTCCAAACATCATTACTTACAGTGCATTACTTGATGGTTATTGTTTGCGTGGTCAGATGGAAGATGCAGAGAACCTACTTCATCTCATGGCTGAAAATGGTTGTGAGCCTAACCTTGTAAGTTTCAGCACTATGATTAATGGATATTGCAAGGCTAATAACATTATAGGCTAATAAGTTCCTAAAACTTGTTGGCGACTCTTTTGCTCTATCTTCTTCCCTTTTGGACGCCACCGTACTTTAGTGTATGATCACAGTGGGGTTCAAGCTAGTGGGATTAAAGCTTGAAATTATTCCCTACACTACCCTTTTAAGATTAATGCATAAGATAAGAATATCTTCTCACAATCTTAGTCCATGGCACCTTCTAGATGTACGAAAATTAGAGTAAAGAATAGTATCTTTACTGCTTTGAACAGTACCCAGGTGAAAAAAAATTAGGTCAGCTTTAACACCTATGATTTAGCTATAACTACCCACTTCCTCCTTCTTTATTCTTCATTACTTCATTCTATGTTATTCCATTCTCTTTAGAGGTATATTCTTCTTTTTTTTTTCAGTTCATTTAGTCTATTTGTCTAACACAAAAATTGATGACTTGCATTCACAAATTCTAAGCTAATAATTATCACAGCAGAATTTAAGCTTACTAATCAGATTATATGTTAAAGGAACCATATACTTTTTATATTATTCAATCTCCTCTAACTATTATCTATTTTTGGTGCACTTGTAATTTATAGTTCTACTAATACATCAATTACATTTGATCTCACATTTTTGTAAAAAAAAAGAAAAAAAAAAACAGATCGGTTATAGTTTATAAAATTAGATTTATTTTTTCCTAATATTTTTAGAGATTTATTACATTATTCTGTTATAGTTGTTGTTGTTGTTATCAAAGACTTATATTTATTGTTATGTATATTTGTTGTACACAATTTATTTTAGAAATTTGTGCTTGCTATTTATACAAAAAAGTTTGCTGGAGAAAATAAAATTATTACAACCTTTTTTGCTGATAATAATAAATGTTTATATGTATCCTTTTTTATATATTCTTCCTTGCACATATTTAAATGCTTGATTTAAGCAAATTTATATATGCTTGATTTAAGCAAATTTATTAAACATATAATAAATGTTTATATGTATCCTTTTTAGCATGATCTTCCAGAAATTATAGGCTTCATGCAGCAGGTGAATTCAAATGATCTCTCCCTTTTTATGTGAATTTTCGTCTATCAATGTAGTCTACATGTTTGTACCAATGATGCGTAGTTGTAATTCGTATACATTGGCGTAGTTTCTTAGCAAATCGTTTTAAAGACATTGATGATGAATTACAGATACCATTCAATGCTATAGTAAATTGTTATATCAGTATTCTTATTTAATGAAAAGGTGAAGCTTTCATTGCATTAGACTACAAATGTGCTATATGGTATTAAACCCAATATGCATTCTGTTGGTATTCTTGCCAATTGCTACTGTCATCTGGGCAGAGTTGATTTTGGCTTCTCTCTCCTTGCTAAAAGACTTAAGCTTGGATTTCCCCTTGATCGTGTCATCTTTAATACCTTAATTAACGGCCTGCAACCTGATGTTAAAACATACAATATAATGGTCAAAGGCTTCTGCAAGAAAGGGCTCATGAGTGAAGTTGCTCAAGTGTTGAGGATAATGGAGGAAGATGGTTGCCCCCCTAATGATCGAACCTATAATACAATCATCAGAGGTTTTATTCTCGGTAACGACTTATCTAATGCATTATACTATCGTGATATAATGGTTGGCAAGGGATTTAAAGCTGATGCAGCCACTTTCTCATTATTTGTTGGGCTCTTGTCATCTGAAAATTTAAGTGACTCGAAGAAGGACCTGCTTCAGAAGTTTATCAGTTAAGTTGCAGTTAAGATGTATGCAAAGCTTTTATAGTGCTCTTCCAAGTGTTGTATCTACGGAGTATCTGTTTGTATTTTTGTAAAACGAATGATGGTAGTACCACACCAATTTTGTCCTTCAGAAGAACCTGAAGGTAATTGGTAGCATAATTGAAAAGCTGTTGTGTTGTGAATTTTCTAAAGTTTGATGCTTCATTTATGTCTAAAATTATTTGCGTTAATTTTTCTTTAAGTTTAACTTATTAAAGTTGCACATGTCTTTCTTATCCACAACTGAAGCACTTGTGGAATATATGCCATGAAGTTTGTCCTCAGACTGAAGCTGTTTGTTATGTTGGTAAGAAAGAAGCATATTGCAATCCTTCATACATTTATGTAAATAAGAATACTTTTTCTTATGGTGCTGCTGGGTTATATACTGGAGAAGGGATGTGCCTGGCTGTTCAAATCCTGTTTCTGGGGCTACTTCATGCAAAATTGGGGTGAAGAATGGTGGGCTGGAAATGGATATCAGAAACTAATTCTTTTGATATTAATGATGATGATGAGGAGGCGTCAGAATTCGACGTCAATGAACTGGTGTCTAGATCATTTGGAGAGTCTGTCAGGAGATTGAGTGAGAAATCATTGAATAAGGAAGAAAGGTTTGGCCGCCAGCAGACTCCAAGTTACCTAAAGATGAAAAGTAAAGGGTTATGGCCTAAGGTTGATACATGTGCCTCTGAGAGAGAACAGGTAATGAAAATCCATGAAGAGAAACTTAAGATGAAGAAAAGGCACTACGAAGAAGAAGATTTGGAGAAGCAATTTGCTGCTGCTCTGAGATGTTTCTTGACTCAGATTTAGATGCTTCTTATCAACTTAGATGCAGAAATCGTAGAAGTAAAACTATATCTTGTCTGCATCCAGACACTTCAGGTTTTAATTATTGGTATGGTAAGTATATCTAAAGCTAAATGTATTTTGAGGAAAATAGATCACTTCCGACACCAATTTAGATGCTTCTCTTAAACTCTAAGATGCAGAAATCATAGAAGAAAACGATTTTTTTTTATCTGTATCCAGATGCCGCTTCATCTTTTGACATAGTATATTTTATACTTAGTAAATAATTCTTGTAGAAAATGCTTCAGGCCTTTAGCCTATATTCTCACCTGGCACATTATTTGAATGACAAGGCTTATTATTAACATAGAAATGTCCTATTTCTTGTAAAATGAATTGCTACTAACAAACTCAACTAAAGAACAATGTCTTTTCTGAGGCACATGTTTAAGACTTCCTCTGCTTTTTGAGAAATAACAAACTCCTTATTCCCTGATCAAGGAAGGAAATTCATTAAAAGCTTAAACTTTAACGTTGGTGAGCCCGCCCCGGTCTCACTCACTTGTAGGAAAGCGTTAGCTACACTGCTTTTTTGAATACTAGTTAGTTGCTCACCTTTTTGCCTTCATTGATGTGAGGATGAACTCTTAAGTCCCCCTTTCTTGGACATGGCTTGTATTTCGTCAATTAAATGGTTAAGATTAGAATATGAGGACCCGCCTTCAGCAATACTTCTCTTCGCTGCTTGTGATATATTATCCATTGATCTGCACAGTTCTTCCTTCTTCTCGTCCATTACCTCATTGATCATCTTCTCCACTATTGATCTATCACATGTATCCTTCATATCTAAGCCAATTCCCCAGACTTGACTGACAAACCTGCTGTTCACTTGCTGATCAGAAAAGTAAGGCCAACAAAGCATTGGCACCCCTGCTATTATGCTCTCTAGAGTTGAGTTCCACCCACTGTGGGTCAAAAACCCGCCAATGGCTCGGTGAGCTAAGACCTCATCTTGTGGGGCCCATTTCACCTTGTATCCTCTCTTCTTGGTTCCCTCCAAAAGGTCTTCTGGAATTGGACCATCTAGGCTACTTGCGATGATGTTAGGCCTTACTACCCACAGGAAGTACTTCTTACTCTGCACTAGACCAGCCCAAAGTTCCATGAGTTGGTCAGCTGTGAAGGTAGTTGTGCTGCCAAAGCTTACGTAGATGACAGACTTGTCCGGCTTAAGGTCCAACCATGATGTGCAACTTTTATCCACTTCCCACAGGCTACTAGATGAATTGTTGGACAGTGGTGTTTCCTCCTTGCCAAGTCTATATTTTAGGTGTGCATGTAGTGGTCCGATGGGGTAAACCTGTGAGCATTGTGATCGGATTTGAGACAGAATTGGACCCTCCAAGTCCTCAAATGTATTGAGAATGAGAAACTGGGCCTGCTTGGTTTGTTGTACCTCTCTCATAAAATATTGTCTAAGATCGTCACAGGAGGACTTGTCTTTGCCTCGGCAGAAGCTGGGAAGATCACGGTAGCGAAGAAAGCTTTCCATCCCTAGTACATTACATACTATCCGATCCATTTCTTCATTCTCTGTCATGGAAAGAAAACAAAGGCAGGAGTTACCAGCAGATAATTTTACAAAATTAAAAACCTGGTAATATATGGTTGTGCTTTATGACGAAATTCCAACTCTCTATCATGCTAAAACCTGATCTTCTTTATGTTTGGTGTCTTAGTTTTAGTTCTTCTAGAATGGTGACCCTTTCATGGCTTCATTGTACTGATTTAAACTCCGCTCTTTTTCTTATTCTGCATTTCTGCTTAACAATAGGTGACTCGAAATTATTGGATATGAATAACATTTCATACTTTAAGTTTGTTACTGTATTTTGTTCAGGAAGTTTGTAAGTTTCCCAGCTAGCCACATAGCTTATACATGTTGGTATTCTGATTCCTGAGTTTTTTCATAATAAATTAATAACCAAGAGTAATTACCAATACCTGAGTAATGAAGCTTCTGCACATAAGCATACTTGTTTCCTGTCAGTATTAATGCATACATATCTGCCTGTCAAGACATAGTTGCAGCATTTCATTTAAACCGAATTGAACCTATATAATGTGATACAATCACTATTGAACACCTGAACACTCTTGTCAGTCTTGTGTATGGTATTATAAGGTGTTGATTATGTTTGGCAAAGCTCATTTACTCAAGGCTTAAACCCGAGCTTGTGAGCTTTATTTACCTTGTGAATTGTGCTTCTTGCCTTTCTTAGTGTGCTTCTCTTGTGAGCTCTTCTGGTTAATTGCTGGCTTATTATCACCTTAATTAGTACTCCGTAGTTAAAAGTCTGTTAAGGCACCAAACAAATCATCTGATTCTTATGTGAAACTTCTTATTCCTGTATTATTTGGCTTAATAAACTAATGGGACGTATTTAGAAGGGATTTGAAAGGACAGAGGATACATTTTTAAGGGAATTGCCTGCTCATTCCTGCCACCCCTTATATCAAATTTCTGGATTTTTGGATCGGATATCCAATCCGTGCTCACCTCTACTCACTTGCCCTGGCCTTCACCCTTACCATTATCATCCTAAATCAAGTGTAAATGTGTTCATGATTATAGTTGCATTTAGACCTGGCAATTTTGACCCAAATCCGATGACCCGACCCATGACCTGAAATTGACCCGACCTGACCCATACCGGACTCGAAAATAGAGTTGACTCGATCCTGACCTGACCCGAAGTTGACCCGACCCAATATTGACCCGAAGTATTTAACCCGAACAGACCCGATACCCAAAATTGACCCAAACAGACCCGATACCCGAAAAGTCCTGAGCTAAAATTACCTTATAATTGAACTTAAAATGTCTTGTACCAAAAGTAACTCAAATTGTTCATCTTCTACCGTAGGTAAGCTCATAAACTGCATTGATAGTTTATATTATAACAATAACAAAATATATACTCCGTATAAAATTATTCATTTGAGCTTGACAACCCGACCAGATTTTGACCTGACCCGAATATGACCCAAACATATTTGAGCCGAAATTGACCCAACCTGAACATACCCGACTGAAGTTGACCCGAAGCCCGACCCGACTCATACCTGACCCGAATGTTAGCTGACCCGAAATGACCGACTCGAAAGCGACCCGATCCAGACCCGACCCGAATGACCCATTTTCCAGGTCTAGTTGCATTGGTATAGATAAGATTGAATATTTATAACACTAAAAGCTCTAAAAAGTCAAGAATATAGATATGCATATATACCTTTGAAAGGCACTTCTCCTGCTTCAATGAGCTGTGGAATACAGAAATAAGACCAATTACCACATGCACTGGAACACCTGAATGCAATAACTGGTACCTCAGCTTCTTTTGCTAGATCATAAGCAAAGCTCAACCACCCATCTATGATGAAACAGGTAACCTTATCTGTTTCTGTTGTTCCAAACAGAAGCTCTCTTATAAGGGGTTCAGCCCTTGGTGCCATCCCCTCAACCATCGCCTTCAAGATTTTCATGATATTGACATTACTAGCCTGTGGCCGAGGTCGGTTTTGGGGCGGCCAATCATCAGGTATCGTCTTAAACGTGAAACCCAGGTAGCGGGAAAAACGAGCTTCAATGTTGGTGTTTTGGGTGAGAAGTTGGTGGTTGTGGTTTGTATTCAGGAAAGTCACCTGAAGATGAGCAAGACAAAGAAGTTCAGCAAGGTGTAGCATAGGGGTTACATGGCCTTGTACAGGTAGTGGAAAGATGAGCACATGAGGTGTAGGAGAAGATTGGTGCTCCATTTTTGCCATCAGAATTTGGGCTTGGAATTCTGAGGTATAGCTGAGAAACTGATGCAAGCACTATAAGTATTGGCTAGAGGTATCAATTCAAGTACTCAGGTCGGGTTTGATGAGGTCGAATTGGGTACATCATTAATAATGTTAGGTTGGGTATTAAATTAATATTAACGTTATTAGCTGTTTTACAACTTTTAAAAAAATAAAATAAATGAACGTATTGCTTATTGTCTTATACTAGTGAACGTATTGCTTATTGTCTTATACTAGTTATTGTCTTATTGCTTATTGTATTAGTTTATAAATTATAAACTAATTTATATAAGTGATTATTTTTTTACAGCTGCAAATTGCAAGGCCACGACAAATATCCATTTACTGCTGATAATTAGATGTTTGCTTGGTTAATTACATTTAAATAAAATTCTGTTTAGTTAATTAGTTTATAAGTTTGTTAGGGGGAAGTGTATAGAAGGGAAGCTTGTAGAAGCATTTATTTAGATAAAGATGGAGACCCTTTTAAGGCTTTGTTAGACTGAATCTTTGTCACCATCAAGACTGCTCTTTTTCTTTATTCTGCTTAGCGCTTGATAAGCGTCTAGACATTATTGGATTTGAATACCATTTCATAATTACAGTTTATTACTGTATTTTATTTGAGGAAGTTCTTAATTTTCCCAGCTTAATGTATTGTACTTCCTGAGTTTTTAGTTACTCAACCTGTACACGAGTAATGATGATTTTTGCGCATAAACATAATTTATTTCATGTTTGTGTCTATGCATGAAATAAATTATGTTTATGCGCATAGACTGGTGAAAGGGAAGGGAAGCAAATCGGAGAATATTAATTATTTTCCTTTCATTTATTATGCTTAGTACAGCATTCTTTAAATTGTTAGAAGGAGATCTTAAAGGTAATTGCTTGCTCACTCCTTTCATCCGTTCCCTTCCCTGTCCTTGACCCTTACCATTATCATACAAAATCATGTACATTTTGTTCATATTATAATTGGTATATGTATTTGTAACACTGAAAGCTCTTAAAAGTGAAAAACATAGATATGCATATATACCTTTGAAAGGTACTTCTCCTGCTTGAATGAGCTGCGGAATACAGAAATAAGTCCAATTACAACATGCACTGGAACACCTGAATGCAATAACTGGCACCTCAGCTTCGTTTGCTAGATCATAAGCAAAGCTCAACCACCCATCTATGATGAAACATGTAACCTTAGCTGTTTCTGTTGATCCAAACAGAAGCTCTCTCAAAAGGGGTTTAGCACTCGGTGCCACCCCCTCATTCACTGCATTCAAGAGGTCCATAACATTAGCCTGTGCCCGAGAGTGGTTTTGGGGCGGCCAACCTGATATCGTCTTGAACGTGAAACCCGGGTACCGGGAAAAACGAGCTCAATGTTGTTGTTTTGGGTCAGAAGTTGGTGATTGTGGTTTGTATTCAGGAAAGTCACCTGAACATCAGCAAGACAAAGAAGTTCGGCTAATTGTAGCATAGGGGTTACATGGCCTTGTAATGGTAATGGAAAGATGACCACATGAGGTGTTGGAGAAAATTCGTGCTCCATTTTTGCTTCAGATTTTGGGGTTGGAATTCTCAGTACTGATTAAGTTGATGGAGGTGTTGTAAATGTACGAAAATCTAATAATGACAACTTTTAATGGTCTTGTTGTGCATCACTAGAAAATGATAGGTACAAACGTGTAGTATAGTGGAGTACTACAGTAGTAGGGGTGTACACCGGTCCAAAACCGGACCGGACCTGTTTGGACCGGGGACCTGAATTGGGTAATTATGAGGACCGGGGACCGGACCTGAATTAACAGGTCCGGTTCCGGGCCAGACCTGAAAAATCAGGTCCGGTCCGGGTTTGGACCTGAATGGACCTGTTTTGTGTCTTTTTCGTTTTTTTTTTTAATACAAAACCTGTTGGACCTGCATATGGACCTGTTTTGTGATTTTTAGACCTGTTGCACAATTTAATAATTACATACAAACCAAAATTATCAATTACAAAACTACATAAAGTCTATAAAGTCCCGATTCTCAAACACCAAAAATACAAATGAGTCCACCGAAAATACAAATAAGTCCACGAAAACACAGTTTCAATTTTTCAGAGTTTGGTTTTCTTCTTTTTTTTTTTTTTAATTACGATTTTCCCGGGTTTCAGGTCCGGACCTGAAAACCCCGGGTTTGGACCGGGTCCGGACCGGGATCGGGAACCTGGATTTTTAAGAACCGGGACCGGACCTGAATCAACAGGTCCGGGTCAGGTCCGGTCCGGTTCAGGTCGGTTCAGGTCCGGTTTCAGGTCCGGGCCAATTTTTGTACACCCCTATACAGTAGTACAGTATAAGATATTTCGTAATACAGAGTAATCTTTATTCTTGAGTTCCATGTAGACCTGTCAATCGAGTCGGTCGGATTGAGATCGGGTTGGGTCACTCCAGGTCACGGTTATTTTGGGTCGGGTTATGGTTGATAAAAACTCAATCCTAATCCAAAGTTTTGGGTTCGGGTCAACCTAACGGGTTTAGAACAAGTTTTTATCTAATTTATTTTTGGCTATTTTTTTTTCAAGTTTACTTTTCTATTTTTTTTTTCAATTTTTTTATCGAAAATTCTCACCAATATTATTTTTAGCCATTACATGCCTAGTTGCCTACGATATAATTTAAATAGTCACCAAAACCTACTAATTTCTAACTAATATAAAATGATAATTAAATTTAAAAAAAAAAAAAAAACTTTCAAACATTATAAAATGAAAAAGTGGCAAGACCAATGTGGCATGACGGTGATGTAAGTTATGCAGAGCTATTGGTGTGGGTTAATAATTGGGTATAGGAGGTTGTTAGTGTGGATCTGAGCAACAGTTAAACTAGATATTAATTTTCAAATAAATGTAATTTTTAGAAAAAAATCATAAAAAACAGGTCGGCAGGTCGGGTTCGAGTTCGGATCGGGTTTGACGCACAAATTTACAAGGTAAATGAGTTTGGGTTAAATTGAGTTACGGGTCAAAAAATTTTGTTCAACACCCACAAAACCGGGTCGGGTTCCATGGCAGACATGTAGGTCTACTCTTGCTTGCAAATATACATTAAGGTAAGGTATAAAATGAAGTATCATTTTATATGTGAAATATTGCGTAGTACTCTGTAACAATTACTTGACAGAAAAATATTTTTTTAAAAGGCGCTACTTCATAGTTTGTCGCACCGTTTTTTTTTTTTTTTTTTTTTTTCGGTTTAATGTGAGCCAGACAAACAGACTCAAGGCCCTTAATGTCTTAATGATAAAATAAGGCAACTACCTACCAAAGAAAAAAAAAAGAAAAAAAAAACCACTTACCAAAGACTAGCTTATCTACTTATATCATTATATGGACTTGTATAGCTCTTGCAAAGTTGCAATGCGTCAGAGTAAACTAGCTTTCATGTAATTCCGATCAAGGGTGGGTGGAGGCTGCTGCGAGAGTAGATTAGTGCGCACCACAGCATACTTATCGTCATCAATTCCGATCAAGAATTGATGCAATTGCTCCTCCTCTCTATACAACTCATACTTCTCAGCGACATTACATGTGCATAAGCCGCATTCACAACCATGGGGAGGTCTGAGACGAAGAAGATCGTCAAAATACCCCATCAAAGTAGTATAGTATTCCTCCACTGTCATCGCCTTGGTTTGCTTGCAGTTGGTGATGGCAGTCCGCAATTGTTGGAGACGAGGACCACTAGCCTCACAAAATCGCTTCTCCAAATAATCCCAAGTTTCTTGGCCTCCTCAAAGTAGGGTATGGATGCCGCAACCTTAGGATCGATGGCTCGTAATAAAATCCATGAAACAATCATGGAGTTCCCCGTATCCCAGTCAAGGAGCTTCCTCTGTTCAGAAGGTTTCAAGATTGTTCCATCCACGAAACTGAATTTTCTTCTAGATTTTAAGGATAGAGTAATGGCCCTAGATCACATGAGTGATCGTATTTCCTGGTTGATCACCGGCGCTGAGGTAAAAGGGAGACGAGAAGTCAAGCTTTCCATCTTCCGCCACTGTTAGAGAATCAAGCAGTGTTTAGAGAAAAAAAATCATAATTTTAGAGTGTTTAGGGCTCCGATACCATGTTAAGATTAGAGAGAATAGTGTTGTGTTTCTATTAGAGTATTAACAAGTATATTTATACAATCTATAGGGCTCAACACATAGGCCCAATAACTATACACTACTATAGAGCTTAACAGTGAGAGAGTTATTACACTGTATGTAAAGATTTGAATCCACCAATTTTAATCTTGCTAATTTCACTTGAAATTCGTTTATGTGAGCTTATTGGGACTAATATATACAGAGTAGTTCATACTTATTTTATTAAATTTTATATCTAATCTGTTTTACATTATCTCAACTAGTTAGGATTTAAATTTTCTAAAACCTTTTACAAAGTGAAAATATAAAGTGTAAAAGAATAGAGGACAATAATGTAGCAAAGGCTTCATATGTGATATGGATAAGAAAAGTTCTTATCAAGTCTTACTACAAAGCAAGGAATAAAAGTTGTAATTAAATCGTTTAATGCATGTACGATTCCTATACAGAGCACGGGGTACTACTACACAAGTTATACTTAGCACAAAATGTTTGTTGCTCAAGTAGATGCCCTTCTAGAAAGGATGTCATTTCCAAAAGGTCAAGTGGGAGTAGTGTAAATATTGAAAGAGTTTTGAAAAAAGCAACAAACAAACATGGTTCAAACCATGGTTGGTTCACCCCATGCCAATGTGACTCTTCAAAAAGGCAAGTGGGAGTATATGAATCTCGAAAGAGTTCGAGAGCCTCAAAGGCGTTCAAGAAAAGCTAGTTCGAGAATCTCGAAGAAATTCGAGAAGTAATCGAATAAAAGCAGCAATATGAGCATGATTCACTTCATGTTATAAATGACAACGCGTGGTCTCATTAAACGTAATGGGAATAATAACCATGTGTCGAAGGTAGCACATTCCAAGTGCACACCCTCTATTGTCGTTTCTCATTGAAAATTAAACAAAGTTGTTGTATAAGTTTCTAAAATGTTGATTTTGAAACATAATGATTTTGCAAAATAACTCCAAGTGGTTTAAAAACCATGGAAATCTGAAATAAATTCTAAGTCTGTAAGCTAGTGTATGACACTTGATTAATTTGCCTAATTGGGTAAGACCCATTATAAGC